CCCCTCTTTTTTTTTTATTTTTAAATTTTATTCCCGTTACGATTCCCGTTTACTCGGTCGATACCTCCCTTTTTTGTTGACAGTTTACGATCAGCAACATAACACAATATGTTGCGTATTATTACCTTAATGCCGACGTTTTGGTCAATTCTTTATAATCGGAAGTATAGATTCTCACAATATCCGTCCACGCTCTTACATTCTCTCCTATTTCTTCCCCGTTCCCATTCTTTCTCGCTTCCTCTCTCATAATATGCACATATACATTTATTTCTTCATTCACGCATTAGTATCTCGCAGCCTTGTTATCTTTTATTGGGGCGATCGTAAAGTTGTGTGCAGGTGTGCAGTGTAACATAATTCAGGCGTCGAAGAAATGCTGTATTAAAAAGAAGAAAAATGATTAAATTAAATTCGAATACATTTCATATTTTTTTTTTTTCCCGATTATTTTTTGTTGGAATTTTCAATGTTTCATCCGCGTTTACGGTTACAGTTCATGATCGATATTTTTCTGTCCCTATTTTCTTTTTTTGTATCGATTATTATTATTATTATTTTTTTTTTTTCGTTCACAGAAATAAACACCTTTTGCATACAACCCTGCACGTACTCCCTATACATTATTCATACTATTATCATGTTGTATATTTATCATTATATATCTATTATTTATAATTATACTCCTATTTACAAAAAGTTGTTCATTAAATGTTAATATTCAATATCGCAACTGTTATTACATTATAACATTATTCCTGAGTGAAACCATTCATTAAGAGACTCGCCTCTTCTTTTTCTTCTCTCTCTCTCTTTTTTTTTTTATCGTTATTTTATTTTATTCTATTTTATCTTTATCGGATAGCTTATTTAAAGCACTGATAAGAAACCGAGATAGCGAAAAACGATGAAATACGAAATATAATAATGAAATTATTTTTTTAACAATTATTTGATATCTGAATCGAAACGTATTCAGCTCGAAACATGGTGGATTTTTTTCAATCGTGAAATTCGAAGCAATTTGAAGTTTTATCTTCAAATATATATTTATTATAAGTTTTATTGAAGATTTATGTATGTATATTCTTTCTCGAGTTTTTATAATTTCTAATTTTTTTCTAGAACTTTTATTATAATTAATGCGTGCGTAAAAAATGGGAGCCGAATAAATTGTGTGTGTCTGTGTGTGTGTATTGATGAATATACATGCGTGTAATTTATTGGCTAATATAAATAGAATAAATTTGGATCAAATTTTGGAACAAACATATTCTTCTTTATATTATTTATATAATTAATAAGATAAGTTAAGATATGGATTTATAGTTTAATTAATATTTTATTATCATTACGTTAATAACTCCAATCGAAACGAATAAACGAAGAATTTTCTGAATCATTTTGTGGAAAATAATATTAGCGCTAAGATTACAAGTATATTATCATTATTATAGAAAAATCGAGAGAGATTAATATGAATGAAAAAAAAAAAAAGAAAAAAAGAAAGAAAGAAAATAGTTTTAATTTTAAAACATTATTGAATCTGCAAGAAGGATCTATAAATTTATTTATACGAACAGACGAACATTTATTTCGAAAAAATGAAACGAGATGACGGATGTGTATACACACGTTTAATTGACAATCAAATGGCATCTTATTTTATATAATCTCGTGAATATTAAACATTTAACAATTAATCATCATCGAATCAATATGTAATAAAATTTATCCCCTTAAATTCTCTAATAAGAACGTGATAATTATTATCGATTAAACAATACAAAACACGCACAATCCGAATGAAAATTGTCATTATTCAACCATAAATATAAGGTAAACATCGATCAAGATTCATCTTCGTTTTTGGAGGAGAACAATCCGTAGAAAAATGGAAGGAAGACAATCTGTGAATCTTATGGCAATCAACTTCTTTATCGTATTGAGATCCACAAAATGATTAGAGAAATTCTCGCGAGCAACAACAATTGAACGATACGAATCGTCGATTTATAACACGTGCATATTCTTGTTTAAATCTCTTGTTTAATAATAATAATAATAATAATAACAACAATAATAATAATAAATTAAATTAAACATCACATTATATAAATATAATTTATATATATTTATAATTTATATATAATATATATATATATTATATATATATATAATTAGACAAGAATACGAATTAGGCGAATTAGGATTGGTTTCCATGCACAAGATATTAATTCGAATGGCTATAACGGGAATCGATCGACCGAAGATCGAAGATCGACTTGATTCATTTCAACAAACTTTCACGAGTCGTATCCCCCACGAGTCGTGTTGAATAAACGCGGGGGCGCCCCTTGCAAGCGACAACACATCTCAGTTTTTTCCCGCTTTTTAACACCGATAAACATCTCAATAAAATCAATATCATGCAAACAGTCGTGAGGACTAGATTTATTTAGTCGCGAAGATTAGTTCTCGAAGAATTATATTTCTATCGATCGTGTAAATTCGAGTTTCTCAAAATCGAATAAAAACTATGGCGAGCAGGAGCGAACCCGAATATCGCGAATCGTCGA